GAGGTGCATAGGGTTTCATGTAATTTCTTGCTCTAAAAATTAGTTTTAATATTAGTGGATATGGATATTTATCTACTCTTAATCTTCTATTTTAATTTTTTCTGTACAAATGTTAGTGTATAGTTCCCTAATCTATAGCTCCTTGATAGGTTAGTATTCCTTTCCAGCAACTTTTTGCTCAGATTGGTCAAAAAGAGATGGGTGGGGGCATGATAATCAGTTGTTTTAGGTAACATTAGGGCAACAATAAGTCAAGCCATTGTGTTATTAATTTAGCCATAGCCAGTTGTATTAAATGTATTTGTAGTTTTTATAAATTTGTTTAATTTTTGTCAACTGCAAAATAAATTGTTTAATAAAGCATGACTCCATTAAAAAAAAAAAAAGAACATGAATCATTCACAACCATATTCAACTAAGAAAATTTTACAGAACTTTCATTATAGATCAATCAAAAATCAACTATTTATTCTTTAGCAAATGTTCCTTATGAATATCAATTAATTCTTCAAGGAAGTAGAGATGGTTTTAATCCCAAGACATTTTGAAACATGGGCACACTCGATTGTTTGCAAAGGTTTCCAGAACTGAAGAAATAGTTGATAGTTATAAGCATTTAACTTGAGATAATTCAATAATAGGTTATATTGAAACAAATGATAGTTTCATTTTTTCTTTAAAAAATTGTAATATTCAAAGTTCAATTCCCAGCCCTGTTAAAAATCAAAGTAGTGCTCTATACTGTGGTGAAGTAACATCGTGAGCATGCAGATTATCACAGGGATGATAAATGGTAACACTAAGATGATTGTATGAGGGTAATAACTTGTGTTGTCATCCAAAAGATAGTGTATGAGGATGAAGGATGAAGTACAAAGGATGACAGGTAAAATTTGAATGAAGGTGAAAAGTATAAAAGAAATAGTAGTTTTTCACAGTCAAAAAAGAGAACAATAGTAGTTTCTTAGACTTCAGTTAATTAATAATCATGAATAGTTTCAAATATTAAGATTACTAAATAGAAAAGTGAACTTCATTTAGGAACAGTGAAATAGATATGTAACCCATGTTATTTCTGTTGTTAAATGATACTTTACTTTTAAATTTGTATTTTTATATTTAATAAACTTAACACAGTATCAAATAATATTTAACAATATTTTACAATATCATGATACAAAAGATAACACTTTTACTCCACCTTACTTACTGAGCCTTCAGATTAAAAATAAAGAATTAAAAAGAATTATTATATGTTTTGAGATAGGCAAGTTTAGATCGACAGATTGCTTGACCTACTGGCAGATGGAGTGTATTAAAAAATTAGTTTGTGTAAGACAGTGCAAAAGATTATGAGGAGGGTTATTCTTCAAGACAAACTCTGAGACTAATAGGCAAAAGTGTTAAAATATGCTGCCCATTTGTGAAATACTATCAGAGTTCTTGAAATCAGAATATTTAAAATCCATATTTTGGTAATTCTGAATTCATGATGAAATCATACATTCTGATTTTACTCTAGATAAACTATGTCAATGTAGTTAGTATAGTCTTTTTTATGAAAAGCCTATTGGAAAAATTGATGATAAATTTTTTATTGCAGATTATGAAGTATTTTAGATTATTGAAAATAAAATACAATTGTAAATTCAGTAAAAATTTCATTATTTATACTTTAAATTTCAATGATAATAAAATCAATTTTTCTTTAATTGAATGTACCTAATTCTTAAATATTCCAACTAGTTCAATTGAGATTTTTTATATTAAATATTTGCATCAGGAATTTTATAGAGACATTCTAGTATGCTATAAATATGAAACATTTAAATAATGCACTAAAAATGCCAATTTTATTATGCTATAAATACAAAATGTTTAAATAATGCACTAGAACATTGCATTCTAGTACACTATAAATACAAAATGTTTAAATAATGTACTAGAACAGTGTATTTAATATGTTATTAATATGAAATGTTCAAATAACATGCTAGAATGTTGCATTCTAGTAAGTTAGTGCTGTTTGAATAATGCTATAGAATGGTGCTCATATTGCATTGTAGAATGTTTTTATTTAATTCCAGATGAGTTTATGAAAATTTATTGCAAAATTGGTAATAGAGGTATTACAGGCTGTTAACTGTTTCTCACCAATATTACTGTTATCATAAAGGTAAAATTTATTATTAACAGGAGAAAAATTACAGGATATTCTAACTACTTTTGAAATTATAATTATTATTATTATTACTTTTATTGTTATTAGTTTCTATAAATGTTTGTAAATCTCCAAAATTTATCAAAGAAAAATTATAAAAGTTTAAAAATTGCAGTAGAAGCCCATCCAATTTTACACCCAGATTACTAGTTATTTTATACATTTTTGGATTGTTTTCTTTTATTCTTTGTTGTTACATTTAAATACATTTTTCTCCTTTCTTTGAGGATGACACACAAGGATAAAAGTTAATACACAAAGATGAATAATCTGTCATCCTGGATGGTAGCACACTATCCAGGTGTCACTGTGACTTCTGTATTATTTCAAAATTCTTGTCAAAAATCTCTCTGTGGCACTTGTGCCACTTCAATATAACCAGTTTTTTAAATGATCAAGCTTCAAGTTAATTTGAAAATAGCGATAATATATAATAGGCAAAAGAATTTATGAAATATTAAAAGATGATGATTACATCTGGCACTTAATGGGCGAAGTCAATATCCTCAAGAAAAGGATATCTGAAGTTAAAGAAAATATAATGTCAGATGTACTGTAGCTATGAAAAAGAATTTTGTGGTAATTAAAATCTTAACAAAATCAATAGTTTAAATAATCAAGCTCAAAAGCAAATACTAACAACATTAATAATTAAAATAATCAAAAGGAAATACAAATACAATCTACATTTCTAAAATTCATAAATATTAAAGCCAACTTCTTCGACTTTTCATACAGTATCATCATAATCATCAACTCCTTTATCGACTCCTTTATCGCAATTAACTCAATCAACAACTCTTTATAACGACATCAATCATTTGATACAAAAATCAACTGCTTTTTTTTGAATTTTTTAATATCACAATAATCATAATCAAAACAAAATCTATCATAATTACCTTTATTTTATGAAATCAAATAATAATTTTTTGATCTTTCGTTTCAATCAATCACAATGCAAATTTTACAACCAACAACAACCAACACTTCCACAAAAACAACATCATCATCCATTATAATATTTAATTAGATATTAATCTTTTCCAATCAATTGCACTATCAGAAAAATTCAAGAATGAATTATGAAACCACCCTAAAGTCATAACAAAAAATGTTATTTGCAAAATCTCAAATACAAACTATATTTAATCCATAACTCTAATACTAACATATCTATCATTGATGAGTTAGATATCAGTGGAGTTTTAAATTTTCTTAATTTAATTGGAAATTGATTTAAAGCTAAAGGTGAAAATTTGTCTTTAATAAGACTCACTTTTGCTCAGTAGTAAAGTTTTTTTTTGCAATGCATCACTTGAGAAACATAAAACGCAGATATAAGCAAGGAAACTATATTCTTTATGAAAATGTAGATGAAACCAATAATCCTCCATAACAAATTATTTGAAAATTGTTGACAAAAGAATAAAATGAATTACTTACTAAATAGCAATTAATTATCAATTCCTAATTTTTTTAAAAGCTCTTTAGCTTTAGGTTGATCATTGAGAGCAGCCAATCTCAAATATTTTATGCCTAATTCTTCATCCTTTTTTTGATTAAGTTTACCGTACAAGTATACTTCTCCCAAGTTAAATTGTGCAGTAGGATTATTATTATCTGCAGATTTGGTTAAATATTTCAAAAAGATTTCACGATCAAATTTTACTAGCGGATTATTGATTAATGAAATTGCATAACGTAATTGAGCAGCCGCAATTTCTTCATCAGCTGCTTCTTTAAACAATCTACTAGCTTGTTCACGATCTTTCTCAACTACAATTCCTTCCCACAAGTAATATCCTTTCCAATATTTTGCAGTTGCATTACCTAAATCTGCGTGTGCTAAAAAACACTCCCAAGCCTTTACATGTTCACGCTTCCTGTGTTCTGCAATGCCTTCTTCGAGAGGAATTATTTGCGATATTTCATCAATATTAAAATTAATGTCCAGTAAATCAAAACCACCTTCATCACTAACAGAAACTACACGAGATAAAGATCCATCTAAATCTAATGGCTTAACAGATAAAAGTACAGGAGCACATTCTTTGTCGGGTGAGCAATACTCATCAGCTAGTTGATCCAAATTAAAATAAATATTTTGGAGAGATGCTCTAATTTCTGGGTCGTCCCGCCAGGCTTTTCATATAAAATTTATAATGATCAAATTAAAAAGTTAAATAAGTTAAATTTTTTTCTAAAAACAAAAAGTCACTAAAGCAATAGTAAACAAAATAGCTTACCAGACATGATGATTTTTGCCAATCCTTTTTGAACTTTTTGAACATCTGGAGGAGCCTCTCTCAACGTGATTCTTTCTCTTTTACCAGCCAATACATGTTCTTTAATCTCCATTATATTCCAACTTTCGTATGGCATTTTTTCGAAAACAAGTTCCCAGAGTAACATACCAAAACTAAATAAATAATATAAGAAACAATATAAAATAAACCAAATAATTCAATAATCAAATAAATTGGTATGGCTATAATTATTACCTGAAAATCTCGCATTTGAAAGTATAAGGAACATGATTTTTTGTAGAATCACGCAATTTTTCGGGAGCCATCCAATGCGTAATATCTGTTACACCCTTCATGTCAGTTGTTGGACCAGAAGCCTCGCGGGAATACTTAAATTTCGCAATTTTTGGTACCAGGCCTGTAGCCATCTATTATAAATAGAATAAAAATTCAAATTAAACTAATTAGGATCTATATATAAAGTCTATATAATTCTCATCATAAGTAAAGTTATTAAATATCACCATAATATGTTCACATCGAATATCATGATGAAGAATATCACAAGAATGCAAAAATGTAAGGCCACGACAAATACCAAGAGCTATTTGTACTTTTCCATGCAATGCAATGTCAAATTTACAATACAAGTCTCTGAGAGAGCCATATTCTGCCCATTCAGTTACAGTAACGTCTGAGTTTTCTATATATGAAAGACCATAAAATCTGATAATGTTGGGTGAGTCTCGTAAATTTCCTAATATAGCCAGATGTCCTTGAATTCTTGCAGCTTCTTTAGGGTCATTATTTTGAAGATTTATTGGCTTGCAGGCGACCTCAAAATTTTGATATATTTTTTTGATAACCTGACGATTTCTCCCTCGGCCATCCGTTGGCTTTAACGTCAAAGGATCACTCAATTCAGTTGATTCTATTTCAGTTGCTTTAATATTTTTATCTGAAACATCCGAATAATACAATTTCTCTCTCATCAATGATACTTCACGGAGAACAATATTGATTTTTTTATTTTCGTCAATTATACCACCACCTATTCTTTCCAAGAACTAATAATAATGAAAAAGAATATTAGATGAATAGAGAAAAAAAGAAGTTCATAATATTCTAAAATAGAATTGGGATGTAAATTACCTTAGTCATATCTGAAATATCAGATTCGAGAGCAGATTGATCTATTCTCCTTTGTTCTTCATTAGTAAAGGCCATTGTAAAATGCAATTCAGTCATTATTACATCAAAGTCTTCAACAAGTGAATTAAATCTATCTTTAACTGAACCAGAATGCACGAATTTCTGATATTTGAATAAGCTCGATATATCAATCATAAAATTTTTAATTCGCTTCATAATTTCGATAAAACGAATAAATGAATAATAATATTCTTGATTACGAAAATTTAGTTCATTTTCAGTTTGTCTTCTTTTTAAAGATTTGAAGGCTGCCTCGGCAGCAATTACACGATCCATAAGTGAATTGCAGATCTTCTTATTATACTGAGCAGCTTCATAGACTTTAATAATTTCCGAAATCACGAGAGTTACAGCTTCAATCAATGGAATAAAAGGTTTTACAGCCTCTCCAACGTCACCTGCAATTTTAGTTAAGATCAATGTTGAGAGTAATGGACCGGGAAGTGGATAGAGGAGTAGATGAATATAAAGATGAAAAGTGTCAATCAAATAATACGCGAGATTTTTTAACAGACGTTTTACTTATAATATAATTAATAGATATTATTATGTAGAAATACCTGTAACTTCCTTCCAATTTGATGTAGTATATGAAGCACTAGAGATGGAGTCTCTACTGAATGCGTCTGTTGAAGTTTGAGATTGGTTATTAATATTAGCTTCTAATTGAATATGTTGATTGCCATTAGTTTCGTCTAATTGAATATCATGATTGTCATTAGTTTCGTCATATATATTTTCTAATTTGATGTTTTCGAGAGATTTAAAAATATCTCCAACGGTTGGTCTTTTATTTGGATCATCTTCCCATGCACTTGAATATATGTCGATATAATCTCTTGGGGTTTCATTAACAGGTTTTTCTCTTTCACCGGAAGTAACCGATTTATATATTGTGAAAGGTGGAATATTATGAAATGGAGGTCTTCCACTTGATAGCTCCCAAAAAAGAACCCCCAAACTATAAATATCTGAAGATTTATCTCTTTTATATTTCATCTGATCTCGTAAATATCGAGGATCAGTGTATGCGGCCACTCCACCACCCATAGATTTTGAATTGGCATCTACTAATTGAGATAACCCTAAATCTGTTATCAATAGCCTTCCTTCGTGAACTAAAATGTTTTTTGAATACTATTAAAAGTAAATAAATTTAGATATATGATTTAAATAATTTATTATAATCCATATCATTATTTTATTTGCAGTAGTATATACTTACTAAATCTTTATGAACAATATTTTCTTCGTGAATACAGCGTAGACCACTTGTAATATCTTTAGCCATTTTAATTTTAGTTTTCCAATTAAGACTTTCGAAATTATTTCGTAAATAAGTCCGCAAGTTACCATCTTTAGCATATTGCAACACTAGGTAGTACGTCTCTTCTAAAGGATCTAAACAATATTTTTAATTAATAATAATAATTTTATTTGATGAGAATTATTTAATTTTATTCAATATGAAATTTAATAAATGACATATAAACAATAATACCTATACTGACTCCATAAAAGTTAATAATATTGTCATGGTTATTTACAGCCGTGATATTTGTTAACTGTGGTTCCAAAAAAAAAATGTACTTAATTTTTAATTTCATCTCGAAGATATATATAATAATGAGAGCAAAGTATTAATTTTTTACCTCTTTCACAAATTTTTTAAAAAATAATTCGCTATTTTCATTTTCATACAAACTTTTTAATGCAACATGTTTTCCTAAACCTGTTGAATTAGCCCGATAGACTGTACCATATCCGCCTCTTGCGATTTCTGTTATATTTTTAAATGTGTTATAATTGAATTCTTTAATTAATCCCCTTTTTAAGGCACTTTTTAAGGCACTTTTAAACGAATCTTTTCTATTATATTGTAAAGACATTTTTCGGAATGAAAAATTGTAAACCAATAATATAATACTTGTTACGAATTTAGAAATAAAAAAAAAGTTTGCATTAGTGAAACTGGTGATCTTTGAAATTGGTGAAATTGGTGATCAATTTTTCACCAAAATAGTTCAAGCAACATGTTGTTTATATTTGCCGGAAATATAATTGCCGAAAATATTTTCGGCTGCATTAGCTGACGTAATTATTTATTTATATTCCGAAATTTGGTGCGTTTTTTCATTTTTTTTTGGATCTGCTCTTTGATTTATGAAACATGCAAGGATTTTCTACTAAGGTGTTTCTATAATAGATCTAAAGGCCTTGTTCTTAGCTACAAAATTGTATGCGTTTCATCCTTGTAGAATCGATTTCCATCGAGTTATTCTGGTTTAAGTCAAAAAATTCTCAACGGACGTTAACAGTAATAACTCAATGAATATCGATGCACAGGGATGAAACACATACTATTTTACAGTTAAAAACATGGCCTTTCGATATATTATAGAGAATTTTAGTAAAAATCGCTCTATATCTCTTAAATCGCGAGCAAAGTAAAAAAAAATTAAAAAAAAAGCACAAAAAATTTTGTAACTTTTGTTGTAAAATATATGTCGAAAATATTTTCGGCATTTCGACATGCCGTAATGCCGTAATTCCGGCTACACTCGGCAACATGTATAAGTTCAAGTAAAGTTTTCAAGGGGTTGTCTAAAGCCGGAATAGTCACTGCATAATCATGTGATATGACAGATCGTTAACCGGCTAAGGTATCGTTTTTGATAGATCCATGGTTATCTTTTTGATACATCATTTTTCAATTAATTTCTTTATTATCACATGATTTTTTCATTCTATAAATCATGTGATAGTGCATATATTAGTTGCAAACGTTACTCAAAAATATGTCTAGCAAAAAGATAACTATAGATCTAACAGAAATGATATTTTGCCATTGACCGAGCATTGGCACATGTCAAATCGTTTTTTTTTAAAAAAATTTTAAGTATTTTTCAATTCAAAAATAAAAACAAAGTAAATGATTCATTTGTATCATCAATAAACTTTATTTATTTTTATTTAACTTTTCGTTTATTAACTTTATTTAACTTTTATTTATTATCTTTATTAAATTTCTTCTCCATCTTACACTATATCTTTCACTATTCTATTTAATAATTAAAATTGTTCATCTTCCTTTGTCCTTACACAATTTATTACAGGTTATAAATGGGATTTCAGTTCTTTATAAGTTGACCTGTTCACTCATCATTGCACTTCTTTTCAACTCTTTAATATGTATTGCAAACTTTTTCCATAAGTTCATTTATAGTTAACCATCATATTTCAGCTGCTTTCTCTGCTTTAGTTTGCTCTGATATATCCACTTAATTTAATTCATTATGAAAATATACCCTGAAGTCACTTTCCTCAAACATCAGTTGAAAATTCCTCCATGAATTGGTGTCAATAATTTCATAGCACCCTACATCTGCCTATAAAAAATGTGATGGCATGGAAGCAAATAACAAATAAAAATAAACAATTGTAATGTAGTGGTGTCAACTCAGGAACAGCTTTGCCTTTTTCAATTCTGTTTTTGGCAGCACAGATTTTGTCATCAAGCATTTGTTGAATAGGATAAGGAAATTTATGAAATTCGTAATTGCTAATTCGCCTATGAAAGAGAATGGGAAATTTTGAACTATGCAAAATTGTGGATGATTAACCTCCAAATTCATAATAATCATTAAATTTAGATTATTTATTTAGTATGTAACATCAAAAAATTTGATTTTTGAGCTGTTCGCAAATAAGAATTTAAAAAATATAATCTACATATATACACTAGTCAAATATAAAAGAATTGCTGTAACTCCTAAACTATAGATTAGCTAAAAATCAGTAATAATCGACTGTCCTATTGCATCCTATATTATAAATCAGCTAAAATCATTATTCCTTCAGTATGGCATATCTTTTGTATTTGACCTGTGATAATGTAGTAATTCTTAAATCTTTGTTTCTGACTAAATAAGTATAATTTTTAAAATATAATTATAATTATAATCAATTTTTGAGTTACATAAATATAGAGTTTTTTTACATTTTAATATAAAAAAAATTATCAAAAAAAAATTTATTTATGCTGTTTATATATATATATATTAGCAATATTTAATTTTCATATGTTTTTATTAGAAATCTAGATTTTCACTATTAAAATATTTTATCAATATATGCACTTTTTGAAAAGCTACATTATGTCTAACCTAACATTTCAACTTTCCAATATATCAATTTATAAATATTTAATAGTTAAATAAGATGCATTAATCAACTAGTTCAAAAATGTGCAAAAAAAATAATTAACATATCCTCAAATTTCATTCTCTTTCTTTCATATGCAAACTGCCAATTAAGAATTTCATCATCTAAACCCATTACAGAAATTTTTTTAGACAAAATTCAAAAGCAACATATTCTGTATCCATACATTTTTTGATCAAGTGCAACTACTTTATGGCAAGCACCTGAATGGAATATTAATATAAATATTAAAATATTTTATGTGCTCCCAAAAATCAAATCAATAATATAATTTTTGATGAAACCAAAATAAATAGAATCCAAATTGATCAAAACATTATTTGACCTTCATTTATAAAATACAACTCCCAAAGTATGCACCAATCAAGCCATAATTTGTAGATGTTCTTTTTAATTCATAGTGATATGATTTTAACAAATTCTTCAAGGTCACCTGCAAAAGAGAGGAATGCTATGTGTACAAAGTGCCTATTGTTGATTATTCTTTTTGTAAAATCATGAAATATACTGCTTGATAGTTAGAACTGGACATTCATTAATCGCTTGCTGGATAAGGACTTCATAATACAACTGATCTTAGTCCTTTTATATATTGCTTGAATCATCTTTTGTCAGGTCTTTGCATCATAGATTTTACTTATTCAGGTTTGTACTAAGAGAACAGTTCAAATTAAAGTATCACATTCTTGTTCTCATTTTTAAGTCCTGGAAAAGCTAATTTAATACTATTTATGACTGTATTACTTTGATCTTGAAGGATATATCTGGATCTCTATGGGGAACAAACTATCAAAATAATTATCAAAGCTTATGTGATGGTGTCAGAATCTTTATTACTAACAAAAAAGTGAGCTCCTACATCCCAGCATCCATAACCATTACAAATATACAAGATGATTAAATAATAATTATATCAATTGGTCTTATGTATCAAGTCAATTAGAGTTAATTATCCATATTTCTCAAGGCTTCTATCTGATTTGGATGTACAAAAGTGAAGCTATAGGCAAACTTACGGAAATTTTATAATGTCCAACTTGATAATTCTGTTGCTCCAACAAAAAATTGAATCCCAAATGTTTAATTCTCATTCAAGATTGCAATAAGTTAAGTATTAAGGGATACACAAACTTTATGTTTAATATTTTAGCTCCTTTATACTTACATTCAAGTTCATTTTTTCTATTGTATATTCTTTAACTGCATTAAAGATTACTAGTAGTCAATAATTTTTTAGGGTCTCTTGTTTGACAAGATGTCAAATGATTCGTGGATGTTTAAGTTTGTCACTTTCTTTCAAAAAGTGCATATGGTCAGGTGAATCTTAGAAATGCTCAATGTATACTTTTTCTTCAGTAACAAACCTTAGCACCATAATTTTAGCAAAGCACATATGAGGGTAACAAATTTTTGTTTTCTGCCATTTATTACTTGGAATTCTTTCCTTTTGAGTTTTAGATGAATTATATTTTGTAAAGTGACAAGTATATGTGTGTGATATATTGCCAGCCACTTTTTTTTTAAATTTAATCCTGTTCAAACATTAAAATAAGTGGTTACCAATTATTATTGAATTTTTCTACTGGTAACTTAAGCAGCTAATTAAAAATGAAAAGAAGGTCTAACTTTGGCTGGGAGTTAGTTATTCAATTGTTATCCTAAGGGGTCTTTTTATAAAAAATTAAATAAAAAATCTTTTATATAATTATTATCAATAAAAATTTTTATTACAAGATTCTTAATTTTTATAAAATTTATTATAATAGATGAATAGATGTAGTGGTAGTAGTAGTGACATGATAAAAACTATTCATTTATTTATCTTTTTTAAATAAAAATTGGTTTAGATTTAAGTTGTTCCCAACTCGCTGATTGGATGCTCACATGACTTACATGGCTTTAAACAAAGAATGTCTTATATTTTATTTTACAAAAGAAGAAAATTGAAGAAAAAATATTTTACAAGGGTTATCAAATAATTATTCATCAGAAATGATAACAAACAGCACAAGTTGAAAATCCAAATTTTGAGTCTGAATCAAGTACCTACCGGACACCTGATGTTTAGGTAGTGGTGGGATCCGCAGATAAATTTATCTGTCATGAATGCAGATGCAAATCAACAACAAATGAAATGTGATTATAATATGTTGACAAATGACCTTTAAAGAATATAATCACATGTATAACTTTCTACTTTGTAATGCATAATATGTAATACACACTATGTGTTAGCCTACACAGATATCCATTTATATCCATTCTATAAAAAGTTTTTAATATATAATCTAATCATACAATTACTACTAAGTAGACTCATAGACAATAAAAATGTGCATTGACTGTAGAAATATTAAATCATGTTCTTTAAAATTAAGAGAATTATAAGTGATCAAATTTTTAACAGCCATGTTTATAATTTAATTTTAATGATATATAAAAGATACAAAAGTATTTGTGGAATGATAAAATTTAAAAATAATTGCTAAAATTAAAATGCTAATTGTGGCACAATGAGTGATCTAAATTGCACAAACTTTTTTTTTTTTAGATTTCCTTAAACTAAGGCTATCATATGATATATTTTGCAATAAAATTGAACTTCTATAAGTAGAGATATTACGTTTAAAATTAAATTGACAAAAAAATAAATGTATTCTTAGAT